CAACATCAGAGAAGATCGTCAATGTAAACAGCTTACTTTAGAATCCTTTCGCTGACTGGTTTGTTGACAAATCTATCCTTTAACTCCAGGACAGGGGTCACAGCATTGACCTGTAGAACTGGTCAGCAGTCAAGGTCAACATTCAAAAAAAGCACATTTCAAGGTGACTTTTTTCTCTGAATACCTAACACCTGATTAGATCTGACCAAATCCGTTATCACAAGAATCAAACGTCATGCCCAAATTAATATGACATAATACACTTATTAAGTGAACCTGCTACAAGTACAACAACAGTTAATAATGTGTCAACTTCCTTGAGTCAATTCATGAACACTAAATCCTCACTAAGCTTACACTTAACCTGAAAGTCATAAACCTCATATTTGCCTATTCTCCCTATTTAGCAGCGAGACTTCCAATTTTGGACCCTTAAATTTAGTACACTGTATTTTCAACCAGTGAATTTGTTACACTATTCTTATATTCTAATATCTAAAGATGATTTCATCTGAAAAAACAACTTAAAATACGTCATAATGAGTTTAAACGGTCATTTTGTCCCCATGGAGTTTATACACACACTTTGTTTATTTGTTGATTGTGAGTATGAAGAATCTCCCCCATAGAAGTTTCAAAAAGTTGGCAAGTATGTAAATCTTACTTCAATAAGTCGGTCAGTAAAACTCTGTATATAATGGGGACAAGACACTCTGCCATCACAAGAATGAAAATCTTCCTTCAATAAGTCGGTCAGAAAAACTCTGTATATAATGGGCACAAGACCCTCTGCCATCACAAGTATGTAAATCTTACTTCAATAAGTCGGTCAGAAAAACTCTGTATATAATGGGCACAAGACACTCTGCCATCACAAGAGGTGGTACTGGCATACAAAAAGTAGATGACACGTACAGTGCATGAGCATATAATGTCCCAGATAAAAATACTCATAGTAAACAAGGGCCATAACTCTGTGCAGAGTGGGGCAGGAGATCTTGTTTTTAGTTTGTGACACTCAACTATCAAAAACAGGTACTCCCATAAAAAAATATCATTTTTAGGTGAAATAGTGTATGAGATATGCCTTGAACTAACTTTAAATGAAACACTGTCTGACTGACTGGGAGATTAACCGACTGAAGGATAGAGTGCAAACATATATACCCCTCCGGTAGTACTGGTGGAGAAATGATAATGGAACATACAATTTTCAACATTGACAATGTTCTTCACTGCCTTATTTATAGCATAACTTTATACAAAATCTCAGAATACAATAGTCATTAGCATCACAAAACATTCTCAATTAAGTGGAATTATTTCAATACAATGTCTATAAAACCTGTAGCAATTCAGTGATAAGTCTTATTATTAGATATGGGTAACTGCTCTATAAGTATGACATCATAATGATGATAATGTTACTAAACTGGCCTTGTATAAATTTGATAGGATAAAACATAGTGTGTTCAATGTTGAGATGATAAGCATGAATGTCAGTGACAGTTGTCATGGTAACAAAGGATACACTGCTTCTTGGATTCCTTCATGTCCTCTGTTGGAGGTGACAGGGACTTCAGGATCTGTAACACAAACACAATCAATATCACACTGAAGTCAAACACAAGGTATCAATATCACACTGAAGTCAAACACAAGGTCTCAATATCACACTGAAGTCAAACACAAGGTATCAATATCACACCGAAGTCAAACACAAGGTATCAATATCACACCGAAGTCAAACACAAGGTATCAATATCACACCGCAATCAAACACAAGGTATCAATATCACACCGAAGTCAAACACAAGGTATCAATATCACACTGAAATCAAACACAAGTTATCAATATCACACTGAAGTCAAACACAAGGTCTCAATATCACACTGAAGTCAAACACAAGGTATCAATATCACACCGAAATCAAACACAAGGTATCAATATCACACGGAAGTCAAACACAAGGTATCAATATCACACCGAAATCAAACACAAGGTATCAATATCACACGGAAGTCAAACACAAGGTATCAATATCACACTAAAGTCAAACACAAGGTATCAATATCACACTGAAGTCGAACACAAGGTATCAATATCACACTGAAGTCAAAAACAAGGTATCAATATCACACTGAAATCAAAAACAAGGAATCAATATCACACTGAAATCAAAAACAAGGTATCAATATCACACTGAAGTCAAACACAAGGTATCAATATCACACCGAAATCAAACACAAGGTATCAATATCACACCGAAGTCAAACACAAGGTATCAATATCACACCGAAATCAAACACAAGGTATCAATATCACACTGAAATCAAAAACAAGGAATCAATATCACACTGAAATCAAAAACAAGGTATCAATATCACACTGAAGTCAAACACCAGGTATCAATATCACACTGAAGTCAAACACAAGGAATCAATATCACACTGAAGTCAAACACAAGGTATCAATATCACACCGAAGTCAAACACAAGGTATCAATATCACACCGAAGTCAAACACAAGGTATCAATATCACACCGCAATCAAACACAAGGTATCAATATCACACCGAAGTCAAACACAAGGTATCAATATCACACTGAAATCAAAAACAAGGTATCAATATCACACTGAAGTCAAACACCAGGTATCAATATCACACTGAAATCAAACACAAGGTATCAATATCACACTGTAATCAAACACAAGGTATCAATATCATACTGAAATATGAGTAGGAAAGTAGAGTGAAAAAATAAAGAAAGTGTTGGATTTGGGGAGAGATCATTACCTAAGACTGGTCAGAAAGGGTAAGAGAGGAAAGTTGGAGGAGGAGGTGAAGGTGTAGCAATGATAGGAGAGCTTTGGACCCGATGTAAATATTTCTTTGCAAATTTGTAAATGTACAAACATCAATGATCAAACTTATTCATGTTTGTTGTAAATAGGTCAAACAGTGTATAAAATGTGTATCGACTATAACAAATTGCTCTGTGACACATTCTCTAAGTCACAAATACCCCCAGTGACCTAATTGGTTCAGCATTAAACAGGTTCTTTTGATATTTGGTTACTTACCTCAGCATTTGGAAACATGCTTAACATCCTGGCATTGAAGTCAGACAGCCTCTCATACTCCTTGCCACGGTATATGAACACTTTGTTCTGTACGAATGCGGGGAATCCGCGCCCGAAGTAGCCGACCCTGAAATACTCGGGGTCTGCTCTCAACTCCTTTATGATACAGCTATACAGGTCGGCCTGTCGGCGCTGTAAATAAAATAACGCAGGGTATGTCAATGCTTTAACTAAACCAGTGATGGATAATATGAATGTTGTAATAGGTAGTCATTTATTTAACAATATGTCTGGCTGTGTGCAATCTTACACAGGCAATACAGGGTATGACTAATACTGTCAACAAAGGTAGTGGACAAGTTTAATTATGTAAATACAGACAGCTAAGGGTTTGAACAATTCTGCTAAATTTTCTAATGTGAAGTATGTAATTTAATCAATATCTTTTTAAGAGCAAGAAATAAATGAACCATATATATATATATATAGGCATATACAGTAAACTGTGTGATCAATAGTATACATTGACTTTATTGACCAGTATCATATTGTACTATACATTGACCAGTACGTATCACACTTAACTGACCAGTGCCACAATGTAAATTACTGACCAGTATCATATTGTACTACATTGACCAGTACGTATCACACTTAACTGACCAGTGCCAAGCTGTAATATACCGGTACTGACCAGTATCATATTTTACTACATTGACCAGTACGTATCACACTTAACTGACCTGTGCCAAGCTGTAATATACTGACCAGAATCCTATTGTACTACATTGACCAGTACATATCACACTTAACTGACCTGTGCCAAGCTGTAATATACTGACCAGAATCCTATTGTACTACATTGACCAGAACGTATCACACTTAACTGACCTGTGCCAAGCTGTAATATACTGACCAGAATCCTATTGTACTACATTGACCAGAACGTATCACACTTAACTGACCTGTGCCCAGCTGTAATATACTGACCAGTATAATATTGTACTACATTGACCAGTACATATCACACTTAACTGACCAGTGCCACGCTGTAATAGCTCGGTACTGACCAGTATCATATTTTACTACATTGACAAGTACGTATCACACTTAACTGACCAGTGCCAAGCTGTAATATACTGACCAGTATAATGTTGCACTACATTGACCAGTGACACAATGAAATTACTTACCAGTATCATATTGTACTACATTGACCAGTACATATCACACTTAACTGACCTGTGCCAAGCTGTAATATACTGACCAGTATAATGTTGTACTACATTGACCAGTGACACAATGAAATTACTGACCAGTATCATATTGTACTACATTGACCAGTACGTATCACACTTAACTGACCTGTGCCAAGCTGTAATAGACTGACCAGTATAATGTTGTACTACATTGACCAGTGACACAATGAAATTACTTACCAGTATCATATTGTACTACATTGACCAGTACGTATCACACTTAACTGACCAGTGCTAAATTGTAATATACTGACCAGTATCCTATTGTATTACATTGACCAGTACGTATCCCACTTAACTGACCTGTGCCAAGCTGTAATATACTGACCAGTATAATATTGTACTACATTGACCAGTGCCACAATATAAATTACTGACCAGTATCACGCTGAGTCTCTCGTAGTCAAACAGCTCGCTCTCGTACAGATGAACCAACTCCTTACACAGCAAGATACCCTTCTCCCACATCTGTAAGATACAAAAATCATCTCATATATATATTACTATACCCTTCTCCCACATCTGTAAAATACAAAACTCATCTCATATATATATTACTATACCCTTCTCCCACATCTGTAAAATACAAAACTCATCTCATATATATTACTATACCCTTCTCCCACATCTGTAAAATACAAAACTCATCTCATATATATATTACTATACCCTTCTCCCACATCTGTAAAATACAAAACTCATCTCATATATATATTACTATACCCTTCTCCCACATCTGTAAAATACAAAACTCATCTCATATATATATTACTATACCCTTCTCCCACATCTGTAAAATACAAAACTCATCTCATATATATATTACTATACCCTTCTCCCACATCTGTAAAATACAAAACTCATCTCATATATATATTACTATACCCTTCTCCCACATCTGTAAAATACAAAACTCATCTCATATATATATTACTATACCCTTCTCCCACATCTGTAAAATACAAAACTCATCTCATATATATATTACTATACCCTTCTCCCACATCTGTAAAATACAAAACTCATCTCATATATATATTACTATACCCTTCTCCCACATCTGTAAAATACAAAACTCATCTCATATATATATTACTATACCCTTCTCCCACATCTGTAAAATACAAAACTCATCTCATATATATATTACTATACCCTTCTCCCACATCTGTAAAATACAAAACTCATCTCATATATATATTACTATACCCTTCTCCCACATCTGTAAAATACAAAACTCATCTCATATATATATTACTATACCCTTCTCCCACATCTGTAAAATACAAAACTCATCTCATATATATATTACTATACCCTTCTCCCACATCTGTAAAATACAAAACTCATCTCATATATATATTACTATACCCTTCTCCCACATCTGTAAAATACAAAACTCATCTCATATATATATTACTATACCCTTCTCCCACATCTGTAAAATACAAAACTCATCTCATATATATATTACTATACCCTTCTCCCACATCTGTAAAATACAAAACTCATCTCATATATATATTACTATACCCTTCTCCCACATCTGTAAAATACAAAACTCATCTCATATATATATTACTATACCCTTCTCCCACATCTGTAAAATACAAAACTCATCTCATATATATATTACTATACCCTTCTCCCACATCTGTAAAATACAAAACTCATCTCATATATATATTACTATACCCTTCTCCCACATCTGTAAAATACAAAACTCATCTCATATATATATTACTATACCCTTCTCCCACATCTGTAAAATACAAAACTCATCTCATATATATATTACTATACCCTTCTCCCACATCTGTAAAATACAAAACTCATCTCATATATATATTACTATACCCTTCTCCCACATCTGTAAAATACAAAACTCATCTCATATATATATTACTATACCCTTCTCCCACATCTGTAAAATACAAAACTCATCTCATATATATATTACTATACCCTTCTCCCACATCTGTAAAATACAAAACTCATCTCATATATATATTACTATACCCTTCTCCCACATCTGTAAAATACAAAACTCATCTCATATATATATTACTATACCCTTCTCCCACATCTGTAAAATACAAAACTCATCTCATATATATATTACTATACCCTTCTCCCACATCTGTAAAATACAAAACTCATCTCATATATATATTACTATACCCTTCTCCCACATCTGTAAAATACAAAACTCATCTCATATATATATTACTATACCCTTCTTCCACATCTGTAAAATACAAAACTCATCTCATATATATATTACTATACCCTTCTGCCACATCTGTAAAATACAAACTCATCTCATATATATATCTTACTATAACCTTCTCCCACATCTGTAAGATACAAAACTCATTTCATATATATATTACTATACCCTTCTTCCACATCTGTAAGATACAAAACTCACATGAATATATTACTTAGGTCCACAAATTCATTATATCATTACCAGTAATGAGTATAACCAAATGGTCAACATCATGTTGTGTAAATGTGAGTGCAGAATCACCCTGCCATATTGAGACACAAGTGTGTCATATACTGACCTTGACCTCTCCTATACTGACCTTGTCCTTGTTACACTGACATTGTCCTTGCCATAAACTGACAAAGGTATGTACTGACTTTGCCTGGTCATATACTCCAATGACCTTACCCTTGTACATTTGTTGTGACCTCTCTGTATCCTTACATTGCCCTTGCCAGATATTGATCTAGATTCTTCATAAACTGACCTTAGCAATGCCATATACTGACCAAGTCATCGTCTTCTACTAACTGACCACCATCATATACTGACCTTGCCCTTGTCAAAGTAGGAGATGATATCGTAGTAGAGCATCTCCTTGAGTCCGCGGTGGGTGTGGACGTTCGGGTACCAGTTACTCTGGAGCATGAGGGGCAGGTTATCATCTGACCACTGTAATACAGACAGCATTCATAATCATCACCATGTAGTTCAAAATTGTAGTTGACAATAAACATCACTCAATGATTTCATCAGCTAAGGTCATTGATCTTTTGGTATCCCTCCCACTCCGTAAGTCCAGCCACACACCTGTAGACAGTTAAAATTCCTTCCCAAACAACAACAACAAGCCTTTAGATGGTTAATATCTCTCCCCAACACAACCACACACATATAGATGGCTGAGTTGTCTCCCCTGCCCTAGGAACACAATTAAAAGGTTGAAATCCCCTCTCCACAAATCACACCTGTAGAAATTTCGTATCCCTCCCGACTTCACCACAAACCTGTAGATTATTATACTATTCCACCAAATCACTCACCTGTAGAAGGTTGACATGTAACATAAGGGTATTAGCTGCCTCAGTGTAGTTGTCACACTCAATGTGAAGATCACAGAGCTTGTACAGGTAGCGGATGTACATCTCCTGGCGATCAATGTCGTGGTAGAAGTTGAGTAAGTTCACTATACAGTTCATTCTGTGCTCCTTACTCTCGTACTGAATGATCTTGCGGTACTCCAGGAGGCGCTGCAATAGTCTTTTGATCACATCCACAAATGCCAGACCCTGCTGCCGCATCCCGTCATTACCATTGCACATTCGATGTAATCTGAAAATGTTCGAACACATGTTGTTATAATATAATTGTTGTTGGATTTCAATAGAAGAAATCCTCCACAACAGTTTTAAGACATTGATAAGATACAGCTATACTATGGAGAAATACATCTCATAGATGTTTTGGCATTTAATTCTTGGGGAATTCTACCCCCAATCTTATAATAATATTATACATGTAGTATTTTACGACAGTATGTTTCAGCTTCTCTCATATCGTTGAGGGTCTAGCTAACATATTCAGCTTCTCTCATATCGTTGAGGGTCTAGCCGTAGTCGTTGAATATTCCATTTCTCATGCAGCTTCTCCAGGGTCGCTCGCAGAGTCTAGTAGCTTCTCTGGAATCGTCCAGGGTCTAGTTGCTTCTCTGTATCTTTGGAGTCTTGCTCGATCATGTAGCTAGCTACTCTGGGACACCTCAGAGTCCAGATTCTTTAAATTTTAAATATCCTATTAGTAAGTTTAATCGTTTTGGTATAGAGTGAGTAGCCCCTGATACGCCAAACTTGTAGCTTGTATGTATTATAACTGTAGTAATAAACAGGTTAAACTGTTCTTGCGTGTTTAGTTGTATATAAAATGATAGTTTGATATTTTAATATTAAACTATAGTTTATATACAATGAGTTTGCCTTGCTGCCTATGTTTTCTGTTTTCTGTAATGTAGGTCGTATGTATTTATGTAGTTGCCAATTAGCATGTATGTTAATGAGAGTAGAGGGATGCTGCTGATTGACCAATCAGCGTCTGCCTGAGGGAATGCCCTGTTAGGGATTTGGAGCCCCCACAGCATAGTTTTCTGAATCATTGAAGGAGATTGTTGTGCATTCCCACCCGCCATCCCCTTCAGCACCTGTAATTGTACTGTTTATTCATGTAATATATATATATAATCTGTACTTTATATATGATTGTAATACCATATACGTATGCTATAACATTACTTTGGTGCTTTGGTTTTGCTATACCCTTAAACTGTCATATGAATGTCATCTCAGTTGGTCTCCTGATTTTGTTTTAATTGTTTGGGCTACTCACTCTTAATTTTAAAACATATAGTTTAATTTTGGCATTTAATTCTTGGGGAATTCTACCCCCAATCTTATAATAATATTATACATGTAGTATTTTACGACAGTATGTTTCAGCTTCTCTCATATCGTTGAGGGTCTAGCTAACATATTCAGCTTCTCTCATATCGTTGAGGGTCTAGCCGTAGTCGTTGAATATTCCATTTCTCATGCAGCTTCTCCAGGGTCGCTCGCAGAGTCTAGTAGCTTCTCTGGAATCGTCCAGGGTCTAGTTGCTTCTCTGTATCTTTGGAGTCTTGCTCGATCATGTAGCTAGCTACTCTGGGACACCTCAGAGTCCAGATTCTTTAAATTTTAAATATCCTATTAGTAAGTTTAATCGTTTTGGTATAGAGTGAGTAGCCCCTGATACGCCAAACTTGTAGCTTGTATGTATTATAACTGTAGTAATAAACAGGTTAAACTGTTCTTGCGTGTTTAGTTGTATATAAAATGATAGTTTGATATTTTAATATTAAACTATAGTTTATATACAATGAGTTTGCCTTGCTGCCTATGTTTTCTGTTTTCTGTAATGTAGGTCGTATGTATTTATGTAGTTGCCAATTAGCATGTATGTTAATGAGAGTAGAGGGATGCTGCTGATTGACCAATCAGCGTCTGCCTGAGGGAATGCCCTGTTAGGGATTTGGAGCCCCCACAGCATAGTTTTCTGAATCATTGAAGGAGATTGTTGTGCATTCCCACCCGCCATCCCCTTCAGCACCTGTAATTGTACTGTTTATTCATGTAATATATATATATAATCTGTACTTTATATATGATTGTAATACCATATACGTATGCTATAACATTACTTTGGTGCTTTGGTTTTGCTATACCCTTAAACTGTCATATGAATGTCATCTCAGTTGGTCTCCTGATTTTGTTTTAATTGTTTGGGCTACTCACTCTTAATTTTAAAACATATAGTTTAATTTTGGCATTTAATTCTTGGGGAATTCTACCCCCAATCTTATAATAATATTATACATGTAGTATTTTACGACAGTATGTTTCAGCTTCTCTCATATCGTTGAGGGTCTAGCTAACATATTCAGCTTCTCTCATATCGTTGAGGGTCTAGCCGTAGTCGTTGAATATTCCATTTCTCATGCAGCTTCTCCAGGGTCGCTCGCAGAGTCTAGTAGCTTCTCTGGAATCGTCCAGGGTCTAGTTGCTTCTCTGTATCTTTGGAGTCTTGCTCGATCATGTAGCTAGCTACTCTGGGACACCTCAGAGTCCAGATTCTTTAAATTTTAAATATCCTATTAGTAAGTTTAATCGTTTTGGTATAGAGTGAGTAGCCCCTGATACGCCAAACTTGTAGCTTGTATGTATTATAACTGTAGTAATAAACAGGTTAAACTGTTCTTGCGTGTTTAGTTGTATATAAAATGATAGTTTGATATTTTAATATTAAACTATAGTTTATATACAATGAGTTTGCCTTGCTGCCTATGTTTTCTGTTTTCTGTAATGTAGGTCGTATGTATTTATGTAGTTGCCAATTAGCATGTATGTTAATGAGAGTAGAGGGATGCTGCTGATTGACCAATCAGCGTCTGCCTGAGGGAATGCCCTGTTAGGGATTTGGAGCCCCCACAGCATAGTTTTCTGAATCATTGAAGGAGATTGTTGTGCATTCCCACCCGCCATCCCCTTCAGCACCTGTAATTGTACTGTTTATTCATGTAATATATATATATAATCTGTACTTTATATATGATTGTAATACCATATACGTATGCTATAACATTACTTTGGTGCTTTGGTTTTGCTATACCCTTAAACTGTCATATGAATGTCATCTCAGTTGGTCTCCTGATTTTGTTTTAATTGTTTGGGCTACTCACTCTTAATTTTAAAACATATAGTTTAATTTTGGCATTTAATTCTTGGGGAATTCTACCCCCAATCTTATAATAATATTATACATGTAGTATTTTACGACAGTATGTTTCAGCTTCTCTCATATCGTTGAGGGTCTAGCTAACATATTCAGCTTCTCTCATATCGTTGAGGGTCTAGCCGTAGTCGTTGAATATTCCATTTCTCATGCAGCTTCTCCAGGGTCGCTCGCAGAGTCTAGTAGCTTCTCTGGAATCGTCCAGGGTCTAGTTGCTTCTCTGTATCTTTGGAGTCTTGCTCGATCATGTAGCTAGCTACTCTGGGACACCTCAGAGTCCAGATTCTTTAAATTTTAAATATCCTATTAGTAAGTTTAATCGTTTTGGTATAGAGTGAGTAGCCCCTGATACGCCAAACTTGTAGCTTGTATGTATTATAACTGTAGTAATAAACAGGTTAAACTGTTCTTGCGTGTTTAGTTGTATATAAAATGATAGTTTGATATTTTAATATTAAACTATAGTTTATATACAATGAGTTTGCCTTGCTGCCTATGTTTTCTGTTTTCTGTAATGTAGGTCGTATGTATTTATGTAGTTGCCAATTAGCATGTATGTTAATGAGAGTAGAGGGATGCTGCTGATTGACCAATCAGCGTCTGCCTGAGGGAATGCCCTGTTAGGGATTTGGAGCCCCCACAGCATAGTTTTCTGAATCATTGAAGGAGATTGTTGTGCATTCCCACCCGCCATCCCCTTCAGCACCTGTAATTGTACTGTTTATTCATGTAATATATATATATAATCTGTACTTTATATATGATTGTAATACCATATACGTATGCTATAACATTACTTTGGTGCTTTGGTTTTGCTATACCCTTAAACTGTCATATGAATGTCATCTCAGTTGGTCTCCTGATTTTGTTTTAATTGTTTGGGCTACTCACTCTTAATTTTAAAACATATAGTTTAATTTTGGCATTTAATTCTTGGGGAATTCTACCCCCAATCTTATAATAATATTATACATGTAGTATTTTACGACAGTATGTTTCAGCTTCTCTCATATCGTTGAGGGTCTAGCTAACATATTCAGCTTCTCTCATATCGTTGAGGGTCTAGCCGTAGTCGTTGAATATTCCATTTCTCATGCAGCTTCTCCAGGGTCGCTCGCAGAGTCTAGTAGCTTCTCTGGAATCGTCCAGGGTCTAGTTGCTTCTCTGTATCTTTGGAGTCTTGCTCGATCATGTAGCTAGCTACTCTGGGACACCTCAGAGTCCAGATTCTTTAAATTTTAAATATCCTATTAGTAAGTTTAATCGTTTTGGTATAGAGTGAGTAGCCCCTGATACGCCAAACTTGTAGCTTGTATGTATTATAACTGTAGTAATAAACAGGTTAAACTGTTCTTGCGTGTTTAGTTGTATATAAAATGATAGTTTGATATTTTAATATTAAACTATAGTTTATATACAATGAGTTTGCCTTGCTGCCTATGTTTTCTGTTTTCTGTAATGTAGGTCGTATGTATTTATGTAGTTGCCAATTAGCATGTATGTTAATGAGAGTAGAGGGATGCTGCTGATTGACCAATCAGCGTCTGCCTGAGGGAATGCCCTGTTAGGGATTTGGAGCCCCCACAGCATAGTTTTCTGAATCATTGAAGGAGATTGTTGTGCATTCCCACCCGCCATCCCCTTCAGCACCTGTAATTGTACTGTTTATTCATGTAATATATATATATAATCTGTACTTTATATATGATTGTAATACCATATACGTATGCTATAACATTACTTTGGTGCTTTGGTTTTGCTATACCCTTAAACTGTCATATGAATGTCATCTCAGTTGGTCTCCTGATTTTGTTTTAATTGTTTGNGGGTACGTACCTATGGTAGGTATTGTATAGTGTTATTAGGGGTACGTACCTATGGTAGATATTGTAATGCGTAATTAGGGGTACGTACATATGGTAGGTATTGTAAAGTGTTATTAAGGGTACGTACCTATGGTAGGTATTGTATAGTGTTATTAGGGGTACGTACCTATGGTAGATATTGTTATGCGTAATTAGGGATACGTACCTATGGTAGGTATTGTACAGTGTTGTTAGGGGTACGTACCTATGGTAGGTATTGTATAGCGTTGTTAGGGGTACGTACCTATGGTAGGTATTGTATAGCGTTATTAGGGGTATGTACCTATGGTAGGTATTGTATAGTGTTATTAGGGTCACGTACATATGGTAGGTATTGTAATGCGTCATTAGGGGTACGTACCTATGGTAGGTATTGTATAGTGTTATTAAGGGTACGTACCTATGGTAGGTATTGTATAGTGTTATTAGGGGTACGTACCTATGGTAGGGATTGTATAGTGTTATTAGGGTCACGTACATATGGTAGGGATTGTAATGCGTCATTAGGGGTACGTACCTATAGTAGGTATTGTATAGTGTTATTAGGGGTATGTACATATGGTAGGTATTGTATAGTGTTATTATGGGTACATACATATGGTAGATATATATATATATATTGTATAGTGTTATTAGGGGTACATATATATGGTAGGTATATATATATATATATTGTATAGTGTTATTAGGGGTACATACATTAGTAGGTATTGTATAGTGTAATTAGGGGTACATACATATGGTAGGTATATATATATATATATATATATTGTATAGTGTTATTAGGGGTACATACATATGGTAGGTATATATATATATATTGTATAGTGTAATTAGGAGTACATACATATGGTAGGTATATATATATATATATTGCATAGCGTTGTTAGGGGAATGTACATATGGTAGGTATTGTATAGTGTAATTAGGGGTTCGTACATATGGTAGGTATTGTATAGTGTTATTAGGGGTACGTACATATGGTAGGTATTGTATAGTGTAATTAGGGATACGTACATATGGTAGGTATTGTATAGTGTAATTAGGGGTACGTACATATGGTAGGTATTGCATAGTGTTATTAGGGGTACATACATATAGTAGGTATTGTATAGTGTTATTAGGGGTACGTACATATGGTAGGTATTGTATAGTGTAATTAGGGATACGTACATATGGTAGGTATTGTATAGTGTTATTAGGGATACGTACATATGGTAGGTATTGTATAGTGTAATTAGGGATACGTACCTATGGTAGATATTGTATAGTGTAATTAGGGGTACGTACCTATGGTAGGTATTGTATAGTGTAATTAGGGGTACATACATATGGTAGATATTGTATAGTGTTATTAGGGGTACGTACATATCGTAGATGAGATCCATATACTCCTCGTCTCCATAACCTCCCTCCACCAGGGCATCCAGTTTCATGATGAGCTCGTTTTCCGTCTACAGATAAACAGTTAATACAGTACAGACATAATTTAAACAATAAGGAACACATAACTATAACATAATGTACAGTAACATAACAATTCATTAAAGGATAGAATATACAGTAGGGAAAAGCTACAATGTATCTTTTGCCCAATATTCAATAACTTTGCTTTATCCAGACAATGCCTTTTAATTGTATTGAAATACCTGTACAGATTCTCACCTGGTCAAAGTTGCCTTTGATCTTTCTGGTGACTGGATCTACCTGTGTAAACTCACACTGCATCATGTCAAAGAAAATAGGAATAGTGGCCTTTCGCAACTCTGGGGGGAAAAAATGAAGAAAAAAAAATAATGAAAGAAAAAATTCGAAATTTGCTCTCTGCTTTATGTATGATGCATGCTGATAAGTGTTAATTGTAGTGATGGGCTATCGTTTAAAAATCGTAATCGATAATTGGTCTATAATCGGAAGTAGTAAAACAATCAATGATCTATTGTTGCATAATCAGTTTATAATTTTATGGGAATGAATACCAAAACAAAGTCTGAACACTATTTTCACCACATCAACAGACTGAGTTGTAAACGATACATTAGCTCTCCTTCTTTTATAATGAATGGATATCAAGCATTTTTTATGCATTTTATCAATCATATAGTAAAAATCATAAGATTATATGCCTTTCAAAGCATTGTTTACTTTACACAGAAGACATGTAAACACTTTGATCTAATAATGAACCGATTATGTCGATTAGGGAATTGCAATCATTAATCGGAGTCAGAAATGGCAAACCAATCGATTTTCGATTGTAATCGATCATCAGCCCATCACCAGTTAATTGTCTAAGACTTTCAGGAGTTACCTAGTTCTGGAACCAGCGTCATCTCAAGGATTGGCTCCACTAGAGTAGGGATGAAGTATTTCTTGTTCACTCCTAAAAAAATAAAAATATTGTTACCAATGATAATGTAGATACAGCTTGTGATCACCATTGACTGTGTAATTACAATGTATAATTTCCATTATGACTGATCACCATTAACTGTAATTACAATGTATAATTTCCATTACGACTGATCACCACTGACTGTAATTACAATGTATAATTTCCATTACGACTGATCACCATTAACTGTAATTACAATGTATAATTTCCATTAAGACTGATCATCTTATATTACTTTAGTTGTTTTAAGGGTATTTCTCCTTACAAGTTTGTACATTCATTGATATAAACAATTGAATTATTCCACGTTATCAATGGTATGTTTCAGAGAGAAAATTATGTAATAACTTAACAACTAAATGGTTGTTGGTAAAACACATTTACTGCATGTGTATTTTGGGATTTAAGACTTTTAAAAATCACCTGGAAATGTGAAATTATATCTATACATGTATTAGATAAATATTGCTGACACAAACATTGTATATAACACACACAAAAATCTTACACACATCTCATAACATCATAAAGTTATAGAATGCTGATCTATTGGTGTTGCCATAGTAACCGGTTGCTTACCTAATCTTGACCACATCTGACGTATTTCAAATCCCATTTCACGTCGCATGTCACTGTACCTAAAGAAAACAGCATAACAGAGACAATTTAGCTCATTCATCCCTGAAATTTCATAATGAACTATTCCAACCTTTGAAATGGAAGAGTTCAAATGTGTCTTCAGGGGTGAATGAGTTTATATATTGAACACAACTGATTGAATACATATCAGTAAGGAATATGAACATGTCAAAATAAAACGCTAACCAGTCCACCACTGTTAGATTAGAGTTCTTAAAGCTTGGTATATGACAGTGTCAGGAGTAAATAACACTTGTGATTAGTTAATATGCACGGAGATCAACAGGCAGGATATTCATGACCATACTAACTTTTGATTGGATATCAGACACATGATTTTCCCAAACAATCTTTAACAATCTTGAAAACAATGTTTCAAATAATGTTTTGACAACAGCAAATTGTTACAACATAAATAATGACCTTGAACTTATTTCACCGTAAGATATACTGACCTTGACACAATTTTGTTGCGCTTGGAGACGGAGAACTGCTCCAGCTGTAGATGGCGCTGCGTGAGGAAGGCTATTGCACAATGGAAGAAACAGCTCCACAACTGAAACACAACAGGTATTGTTATAGGTTGTCAGGCTAACATCATGGAGATGACCGTGAAAATTAGTGAACAAAATGTAAATTAGCACAATCAAGTTTTAATTTGAAATTTAAATGACTTGAAGCCAGCAAATGTTCTTAACCTAATCAAATTATCGTATTGATGTTTGACCTAAAATTTTACTGATTGAATTACCTGTTCCTCAAATGATGAAGTGAACTTTTCACAGATAGTCTGGGCAAAGAACCTCAAAGCTCGGAGAATGATGCTGTAAAATAGATATAGCAAATATATCATAGGTTCTTTACAATCAAATATTTCTTTTACACAATTAGATGCACAATTGACTTGCTCTAGAAAAATGACCAGATATTGGGTAAATAAATATATATCACTTCTTGAAAGACAATAACCACAACTGCATGAAATATCATATAAAGAACTGTAGTAATTAAAGGTTTTCTAAAAACATTGTGTGTTACATATTTCTGTGGCAAATATAAACTGTATTTTATTTTACCTGTCATAACTGTTGTCCTCAGAAAAAAAGTACTTGTCTTATTCAAAAATCAAATCCTATAGTCAGGACAGGAAAAACCTTTATAAGATAATGGGATCTAATTAATATTGAAAACAGAAATACCTACAAATGACTTCTCAACTGTTAATTGTCACTGAAGAAATCACTGACCTGTTCTGAAGCATGATCATGGCTAGCCAGTCACGTGCAAACACATTTTCTTTGATGAGGACCTGGAACAGCGTAAGGATCTCCATGAGGAAGTCCTGTAAGTCAGTGAGGAAGGAAAACTCCCGGATATAATGAAGGTAGTGGTTCTCTGTCATCTTTCTCAGTATGGACATCAGGACAGCCACACAGCGACTCTGTTTAGATGACACAATTTACAGATTTAATTACAGACGTCAGGACAGACACACAATGACTCTGTTTGGACGACACAATGTACAGATTTAATTACAGACGTCAGGACAGACACACAATGACTCTGTTTGGACAACACAATAGACAGATTTAATTGCAGACGTCAGGACAGACACAACCAGACTCTGTTTGAACGACACAATAGACAGATTAAGTTAGACATCAGCACAGAAACACATCCACTCTGTTTGGATAACACAATAGTCAGATTTATTTACAGAGGTCAGGACAGACACAACCCGACTCTTTTCGGACAATATGATAGTCTGATTTGAGCAGACATAAGTTAAGCAACACATTGACCTTAGGATGTGATGGAGAATGTTCAGGGGTCCCGATAGGGGAGGTGTTAAGGTCCTAATGATGAGGGGCAAAGGTCTTCATAGGGGAGATCAGTGCAAAGGTCCTGAGGGTGAGGGGCAGAGATCCTTATGGGGATGTGCAGGGCTATGTTTATTACTCAGCCAACAGATAAACATAGACACTTAAAATGAAACAACAAATACATTTATTAAATCTCTTTAAAAAGACAATAAATACCAACACCCTTACACAGTGAAACACTAGGAGGTGGCATAGCTGACATTTTTTTTCCATCATGAAACAGTCTTTTAACTCAATTTTTTTTTTTATCAAATCTAGATTTATTCAATTTTCATATTTTGTGCCTATAGTTAAAATTGTCTGTGCATTAAAAAAACCTTATTTTGTTGAAAACATATTAAAATTTTATAAAATTTTGAACTTTAATCGAGAGGTAATTGCCAAGCCCTACATATAGAGTGATGTAAACCCACACACATCCACTGACCAGATCTGTATAATGCTTGCTGCACTAGCTATAGTACAGCAACATTGTACAGTCTCCATGGACTTCTATAACTGTCCAAGATGGCATCTATCACAAAACTTATTTATATAGGCATAGTCTGAGGTTTCTGATAGCTCTCACATACATACATGTATATAGTATAGAGTATAGATTAACTTGAACTGTAAGCCAAAACTAATACCCCCCGCTCTGACATGAAATTGGTCAAACTGGAAATATAGTATACACTGTAATGTGTATTCATTGATGTCAGTACTTCTACATACATGGCTTGTTTCATGTATGTTTTGTTTAGTCATGATTTTTTTATGTCAAAAAAATGCACTTAAATGTTCATGTACATTTTGTATCTTTCTTTGTTGCTTATTACAAAAATATATATATGTGCTTTGGCAGGTCTATTTCCTGTGCTGTGTCCATCTTGATATCATAGCTAGTCATATGCATCTCTATGCAAGTTGTTGATATATTTATGCTAATGAGTGGGGTAGATTTTGACCAATCAGCATTATCCCCTAGAGGGGTATTAGTATTGACAGCACCCTATTCATTCTTTGTTTTTGGCGGATTATCATCGTTTGTTTTTATGCACCCACCCACCGTCCCCAGATTCACCTATATGTATTTTATTTTTTATTTTTTCACATGCTGTGACCTGTCTTTTCCTGTATATTGCATTGTTCCTTATATTGTTAGGTGGGCTACTCACTCTTTGTAATTTATTCTTTAAACCAGGTTTTAATTCCAGGCTTTTAATTCCAGGCTTTTAATTCCAGGGGAATTTTACCCCCAATACTTTATTAATTGAAATATTATTCATTTACTATGTCAGTAGCTTCTATATATGTATCATCATCTCCAGGAATTCTTAGAGTCAAGTCGCTTCTCTGCAGCTCAGTAGAGTCAAGTTTCTTCTCTAGGTCTATTCGATTTCAAGTCTTAGAGTCAAGTCGCTTCTCTGTAGTTCAGTAGAGTCAAGCTTCTCCTCTAGGTAAGAATATTCTATTTCTCATCTTCTCCATAAATTTACTTAAGAGTCAAGTTGCTTCTGTGGAGTTTCGGCAGAGTCAAGCCTCTTCTCTAGGTGTCTTTTTGGAGTCTTGATGTTAAATTTTAAGTTTAAGTTGTATTAAGGGTATGTTAATTAGCAAGTAGAGAGTAGCCCCTGATATGCCAAATGTTAATAATGTATACATGTACTTCTTAGTGTATCTTATTCATGTTTTTCGCTAACATGTGTAATAAACAGATAAACTGTTTATCGTGTTTTAGCTGTATATAAATGATTGGTTAGAGCCCCTGCCACGCCCACCTACAGTGAAACATTGACTTGTTCAGGCAGTACATTTGTAGAAGTAAACTTACTGAGGTATACACATGTATAGGTGGTTTAAATAGTACAGGTGATATAAACCGAAAATTTAAAACATTTGGAGTAAAGATTGCTGCTCTAATACAATGATAAATGAACGGCTCACATATTGTAGTGTTGAGGTAAGTGAGAACCCACGGCATGCTCACATATAAACAACTAGTGTAATGCCCTTTAGTACATGTCTGTATATTTAAACCCTTCTGGTTGAAAATGTTCACGTTTATTTTTACGTCATTCATCTTTCATCTAATCCTGTTTTAACTTCAATGATAACAAACATTATTGTAACTATGACGTGAATAACGTAAGTAGCGACATAATTAACACACTGGAAGTGTTAACGTGAACTGTGTATGGCCCACACTGATGGTTGACTTATAGCATGCATTTCTTTCACGAAAACATGCATTCCTTACAACCATGATTCTGTAGATGTACATCTGTTTTCATCATTTTGACCCCTAACCTCTCATCCCCTGAATATGGCCTTTAACTATACTTTTGACCTTTAACCCTTTCTTTTATGAACTATATTTCTCCTTATGAATTACCCCTGATATAAGAATGCAATAATTCAATTTATTATCCATGCATCAAAATTGTTCAGGGCATGATACAATTTATATCATTCCAACATCGTTGTCCCCTCCCTATACACTTAACCTGTTTTCTTTCGACTCCAACTCGCCTATTAAAAACCATGAGCTGTTATGACCCCTATTCCTCCTGCTTATGACCTCTTACCTTCCTTTTGACCTCTAGTCCTGTTATAACAGCTAACCAGCCTTATGACCTCTTACCTTCCTTTTGACCTCTAGTCCAGTTATAACAGCTAACCAGACTTATGACCTCTTACCTTCCTTTTGACCTCTAGTCCAGTTATAACAGCTAACCAGACTTATGACCTCTTCCCTTCCTTTTGACCTCTAGTCCTGTTATAACAGCTAACCAGGCTTATGACCTCTTACCTTCCTTTTGACCTCTAGTCCAGTTATAACAGCTAACCAGACTTATGACCTCCTACCTTCCTTTTGACCTCTAGTCCTGTTATAACAGCTAACCAGGCTTATGACCTCTTACCTTCCTTTTGACCTCTAGTCCAGTTATAACAGCTAACCAGACTTATGACCTCTCACCTTCCTTTTGACCTCTAGTCCTGTTATAACAGCTAAACAGACTTATGACCTCTTACCTTCCTTTTGACCTCAAGTCCTGTTATAACAGCTAACCAGACTTATGACCTCTTCCCTTCCTTTTGACCTCTAGTCCTGTTATAACAGCTAAACAGACTTATGACCTCTTACCTTCCTTTTGACCTCTAGTCCAGTTATAACAGCTAACCAGACTTATGACCTCCTACCTTCCTTTTGACCTCTAGTCCTGTTATAACAGCTAACCAGACTTATGACCCCCTAACCCTTCTCATCACTTTTGAACTACATTCCTTGTGACATATAACCTTCCTATTTGACCGCTAATCCTCTTGTTTAAGACTTCTAACACCCAAAGAACTAGTTGTTTTAAAAATTCATACTATAAACCTAGTTATAGTATCACAATATCTTATTAAACCATAGTCAACATGTCAGTTATATCTTATCATTTTCTTTAATCATTAGTAAACACATATAAATAAAGCTGTAACGAATACACATTAGTGCTTGAGAACAGTGCTCATGTAATAAAACAACATTACCACTAACCAGTACAATGCATTCACATATTAGTTCAGTACTCCTATTCTCCTAAACATGGAATACAATACCAATATTTAAGACGATAAAACCAAATAAAAACACCACAATAAAAGTTTCCTCGTCTTTATTACCATACCACTACCGTATAGTGTCGTGTCCTTATAACACTCTACAATTGGGTACTGTTAAACATCTAACTCCCATACTGATTTTTATTTTTAAATTTTACCATAAAAGGTTTTTGGATTATCATTGTCTATTCCACATTCAGAATTACATAAGAAGTTCCAGGTTTGCACAAAAAATGTAATCATACATGATTTCAGTTACGTATACTTCCTCATAAGTAGAAAATGTTCATTTACCTCATAAGAACAAAGGAATGTTTACAGTTATGTGATCATTATCAAAGAAATGTTTAGTTACCTGATCAGGATCAAAGAAATGTTTAGTTACCTGATAAAGATCAAAGAAATGTTTAATTTCCTGATGGTATGCAAGAAATGTTAAGTTACCTGATCAACATCAAAGAAATGTTTAATTTCCTTATTGGGATTGAAGAAATGTTTATTTACCCGACATAATTTCAATGATACCTTTATAAAATGTACTGACTTGTTAACATCATTACCTTGATTTGTTTATATCTGAATTCATATAATCTCCTTTACATTAACATGTGTTGTAATATCACGTATCTGTTGATAAAATAGATCAAATATTTGTTATCTGAGAGATAAACAGAAAATAAGAAAACAATTTTCCTTTTAAGAAAAGCGAGGAACAAAAGCTAAAGGATACAACAGAGACAAAATAGCTGTTTTACCGTGCAGGAATTAGGTTTTTTGCTGCGTTGAAATAACAAATTTATTGGCATTGAAATTAGAACTTGAACGGTACAGAAATTAGATGTTTTACAGTGAAGAAAAAGCATCAACAGAAGGCATGCTGGTTAAGTTATGACAACCAATCAAATCAGCGATATGTTCTACACTTGTTGACCTTGATCATGACCTTGGAATGGTCTTGTGTTACATTGATCTACCATATATTGACAAATGAGTAGTTTGCTTGCCATAAACACCACAACATATACAGCTAATGGTGAAAATCTTACCTCGGTTCTTCTCTGAAAGTAATATTATTGTATAGGTAAGTATATACATGCTGAAAAAGTGTTAGTGAAAAGTCTTTATGTAATTGGGACAATCATGGTTCAGGCTTTTATTGGCTAAATGTCAAGTTTGTTTGTACTGACAGAATGTGCGGTCTCTCAAAACAGGTCCTATTATACTGATAAAACAGTACTTTCAGAAGACAGGTTCTACTCTCAAGACAGGTACTACCCTATTTAGGGCTGGTCTCTCAAGACAAGTTTTAAATGTACTACCATATTTATCCTGCAATAGACCCATTCTTAGTAATAATCCCACCAATATATATTACAGTTAGAAAGAAATGCCAACAAAAGTCTGGTAATAAGCCAATCCCCATGCTTTCAGTCAGAGATTATGTGTTGTCCTGTAATAAGCCCCTCCCCCTACTTTCAGTCAGAGATTATGTGTTGTCCTGTAAGCCCATCCCCGTACTTTCAGTCAGAGATTATGTGTTGTCCTGTAAGCCCATCCCCTACTGTCAGTCAGAGATTATGTGTTGTCCTGTAATAAGCCCATCTACTACTTTCAGTCAGAGATTATGTGTTGTCCTGTAATAAGCCCCTCCCCCTACTTTCAGTCAGAGATTATGTGTTGTCCAGTAATAAGCACATCCCCCTACTTTCAGTCAGAGATTATGTGTTGTGCTGTAATAAACCCATCCCCCTTCTTTCAGTCAGAGATTATGTGTTGTCCTGTAAGCCCATCCCCGCACTTTCAGTCAGAGATTATGTGTTGTCCTGTAAGCCCATCCCCGTACTTTCAGTCAGAGATTATGTGTTGTCCTGTAATAAACCCATCCCCCTTCTTTCAGTCAGAGATTATGTGTTGTCCTGTAATAAGCCAGATCCCTACTTTCAGTCAGAGATTATGTGTTGACCCCCTGGCCATGGGCTTATTGCAGGATAAATACGGTAACAAAATTGGTGGCTCTTTAAGATATATTCTGCTGTCTTGATAGAATGAGTTTAAATCACAATTGTGATCAGAATCTATTATATGTAATGGTGTACATAAAATTTCATTATCATGTAATCACAAAAAGATCATCTGAAATGTGAAATATAACGTATTACAGAAAAATAAAAGCACTATTTAATATGGATCTCTCAAAAAACCTCTTTGATTAAAGCCAAGACTGTATGTGCTATGGTGCTTCAGACATCAGAAGTAATCAGTGTACAGATAGTAGTTAGATGTAGTAGGGGGTTAGCTCAGAATATAGGCGAAATACAGACCATCTCACTAATGCAGTTAATTTTCAAAAACACTAAAAGTATTTAGAAATTAGAACAAGGAAATAATAACGGTAATTCTTGTGTCTGATTGAGACAAGGTACTCAATACTGTATCCAACCTAATAAGTGCCCCGATATACGCATCCCATCCCATCACCATAACTTACCAACTTGCTCAAGGAAAAAAGGGTTTATCATGGTTATTGTTTGGTAAGTTTGGACAGTTCTGCAATCATTCTTGTTTTCACACATTGTTAAGTGGCCAGGGCGCTTATTACAAGTAGGCTGAATACAGAAGCTATTTGCATAAACATTCTTACTTACACAAGTAATAGCCTAGTTCTCTACTAAATAAATGCCAGGAACAATAATTCTAGTCCTAAGCATACATGACAAATATCAAACTTTTCCTAGACAAGAAATACAGTCCAGAATATGACAATTGGCATTATATAAGCCACTAACAGTATGAACTAACATCTAGTATTTATGGGACAAGTCTACACAGAACTGCGACCTACCGCCTCTTTGGAAGTCTTGTCCATACACACAGCTGAGCGGATCACAATCCTCAGGTTTTCCTTCATGATCAGACCTATATCATTGCTGTGGGGGCCCTGAAAATACACCAACAGATAACATTTCATCAGCTCTGCTGTTTAAAACTCATCTCAGGAGAGATTGAGGGAAGGCAGTTGGAAGGGATAAGGTTGGAGATACATTTATACAAACTTTATTTTGCACTGTAAATTGACAGGTTGAGGGGCCATAAGGGGCCAGGATTTGGTTAGACCTGGGAGGAAGATGAGGAAGAGAGGGGATATGTGGAAAAGAAAGATAATCATGCAGGGTGGAGGGGGGGGGGGATTGAAAAGTGTGAGGTAAGAGGGAGTTAGGGGAAGAGGAAAGGTAGGATTAAGGTGAGGTGTGTGAGGGTGGGAGGTAACAGAGGGGGAGGAGGCGGGAATACCTACCGTGCTCTTGTCATGCATCTGATCCATGACATTGCTGAGTACATTTACACAATCCTCCAGTTCCTCCTGATCCTCCAGTAAAGGACCTGTGTGTTTCAGAATCATAGGCAGCAAGATAGCACGGCAATCTGAAACAAGCATATCCATGGTAACACAGAGACACAAATAGTATCCAGGGTAACATGATATAGAGACACTGAACATATTGATCTCCATGGTAATGAAATATACTGAAACTCACTGATCTCCGTGGTAATGAAATATATTGAAACTCACTGATCTCCATGGTAATGAAATATACTGAAACTCACTGATCTCCATGGTAATAAAATATACTGAAACTCACCGGTCTCCATGCTAATGAAATATACAGAAACTCACTGATCTCCATGGTGAAAAGATACAGTGACACTGAAACATTGATCTCCATGGAAACATGATACACTAGAGACTAAACTGTGGATTTCTATGGTAGCTAGATATTAAGAAACAAACATTCATCTCAATGATAACACTATATCTGGACAGTTTGAAATACTCATTGGTTTCATTTATTACAAAACAAGATCAATATCAATATATTTGGTCTCCAGTAACTCCGAGAACATCTCCAACATTGGTTGTCATAGTTACAAGATCATGTGTCTGAAACGAGGTCACCTTAATTTTTATGTATTGTTTGATGGCCCCTTGTAAATTAAAGCATGTTTGGGTAAAAGACTGCGTTAAGCACAATGACGTACCTGCTGATTTAAATAACACACTATATACAAGGTCATCTATACACTTCAACTTCTGTTTCGTCAGTCGTTCTTTTGGCACATTGTTGATGAATTCTACCATCAATTTACTGAAATGTAAAGTCAATAACATGTTCACAGATTATCTATCTAGTAACACTGTTGATTTATATTTATATAGTTACATCCTTATTCTCACAGAGTTTTGTATATTTATGACAATCGTATTAAATGCAAATTCTTTCTAACCATACCTGCTTTGTATATTCATAGTTATACATATCAACATGTGTGTAAAATGTGTGAGACATACCTGAGCTCCAGTGGGTCAAACACATGCATGATGTCAGGTATAGCGGAGCACAGGTACTTCAGAGCTGAGCCCTGGTAAAAAATACCAACAAAATAGTAAGTATTAAAACCAACAACATACATGATAAGTGTTAAAATCAAAATCAATACTGAGTGTTACAATGTAAGATCAATACTTTGTAAGACAAGGCAAGTTTCTCTTAAACAAGAAATTGCTAATTGATCCCTTTTTATACTTGTCACACTCACTGACGAAATAATGAATCAAAGGTTACATCTTACACAGGGTATCATCACACCACACAGGAGGCTAACTCAATGTTGGATGACTTGTTTTCAAAATACAAAGAAAACTAGGTTATGAAAGCTTAAATTTCGGCGTTTTATGTGCTTATTTCATACCAAAGAGTTACAGGTACTAAAGAGTTCCAACAAGAACAGTAACTGCTGTTTACCTGGGCTAGGAGTGTGTTGTCACTGGTGTATAACATCATACCACTGATGGCCTGGATTAACTGTTTCATCTGTAGCTCAAACAGCTGTTTACCTCGGCCATCATTCAACCTGAAATATCAATTATCCAAATTAACTTTGCTTAATGGATATTTCTATTCCGTTTACAGAACAGTTACAGTAGAGAATGTCCAAAAGTATCTCTCTATTTACAGACCAGTTACTGTAGAGAATGTCCAAAAGTATCTCTCTATTTACAGACAAGTTACTGTAGAGAATGTCCAAAAGTATCTCTCCATTTATAGAACAGTTACTGTAGAGAATGTCCAAAAGTATCTCTCCATTTACAGACCAGTTACTGTAGAGAATGTCCAAAAGTATCTCTCTATTTACACAAAGTATCTCTCTATTTACAGACCAGTTACTGTAGAGAATGTCCAAAAGTATCTCTCTATTTACAGACAAGTTACTGTAGAGAATGTCCAAAAGTATCTCTCCATTTACAGACCAGTTACTGTAGAGGATGTCCAAAGGTATCTCTCCATTAACAGAACAGTTACTGTAGAGAATGTCCAAAAGTATCTCTCCATTTACAGAGCAGTTACTGTAGAGAATGTCCAAAAGTATCTCTCTATTTACAGACAAGTTACTGTAGAGAATGTCCAAAAGTATCTCTCTATTTACAGACAAGTTACTGTAGAGAATGTCCAAAAGTATCTCTCTATTTACAGACAAGTTACTGTAGAGAATGTCCAAAAGTATCTCTCCATTTACAGAGCAGTTACTGTAGAGAATGTCCAAAAGTATCTCTCTATTTACAGACAAGTTACTGTAGAGAATGTCCAAAAGTATCTCTCCATTTATAGACCAGTTACTGTAGAGAATGTCCAAAAGTATCTCTCCATTTATAGAACAGTTACTGTAGAGAATGTCCAAAAGTATCTCCATTTACAGACCAGTTACTGTAGAGGATGTCCAAAAGTATCTCTCCATTTACAGTAACAGGTCTGTAAATGGAGAGATTCTTTTGGACATTCTCTACAGAACAGTTACTGTAGAGAATGTCCAGAAGTATCTCTCCATTTACACAAAGTATCTCTCTATTTACAGACCCGTTACTGTAGAGAATGTCCAAAAGGATCTCTCTATTTACAGACCCGTTACTGTAGAGAATGTCCAAAAGAATCTCTCCATTTACAGACCAGTTCCTGTAGAGGATGTCCAAAAGTATCTCTCCATTTATAGACCAGTTACTGTAGAGAATGTCCAAAAGTATCTCTCCATTTACAGACCTGTTACTGTAGAGAATGTCCAAAAGTATCTCTCCATTTACAGATCAGTTACTGTAGAGAATGTCCAAAAGTATCTCTCTATTTACAGAACAGTTACTGTAGAGAATGTCCAAAAGTATCTCTCCATTTATAGACCAGTTACAGTAGAGAATGTCCAAAAGTATCTCTCCATTTACAGAACAGTTCCTGTAGAGAATGTCCAAAAGTATCTCTCCATTTATAGACCAGTTACAGTAGAGAATGTCCAAAAGTATCTCTCTATTTACAGACTAGTTACTGTAGAGAATGTCCAAAAGTATCTCTCCATTTATAGACCAGTTACAGTAGAGAATGTCCAAAAGTATCTCTCCATTTACAGAACAGTTACTGTCGAGAATGTCCAAAAGTATCTCTCCATTTACAGACCTGTTACAGTAGAGAATGTCCAAAAGTATCTCTCCATTTACAGAACAGTTACTGTCGAGAATGTCCAAAAGTATCTCTCCATTTACAGAACAGTTACTGTCGAGAATGTCCAAAAGTATCTCTCCATTTACAGACCTGTTACAGTAGAGAATGTCCAAAAGTATCTCTCCATTTACAGAACAGTTACTGTCGAGAATGTCCAAAAGTATCTCTCCATTTACAGAACAGTTACTGTCGAGAATGTCCAAAAGTATCTCTCCATTTACAGACCTGTTACAGTAGAGAATGTCCAAAAGTATCTCTCCATTTACAGAACAGTTACTGTCGAGAATGTCCAAAAGTATCTCTCCATTTACAGAACAGTTACTGTCGAGAATGTCCAAAAGTATCTCTCCATTTACAGAACAGTTACTGTCGAGAATGTCCAAAAGTATCTCTCCATTTACAGAACAGTTACTGTCGAGAATGTCCAAAAGTATCTCTCCATTTACAGAACAGTTACTGTCGAGAATGTCCAAAAGTATCTCTCCATTTACAGAACAGTTACTGTCGAGAATGTCCAAAAGTATCTCTCCATTTACAGAACAGTTACTGTCGAGAATGTCCAAAAGTATCTCTCCATTTACAGAACAGTTCCTGTAGAGAATGTCCAAAAGTATCTCTCCATTTACAGACCTGTTACAGTAGAGAATGTCCAAAAGTATCTCTCCATTTACAGAACAGTTACTGTCGAGAATGTCCAAAAGTATCTCTCCATTTACAGAACAGTTACTGTCGAGAATGTCCAAAAGTATCTCTCCATTTACAGAACAGTTCCTGTAGAGAATGTCCAAAAGTATCTCTCCATTTATAGACCAGTTACAGTAGAGAATGTCCAAAAGTATCTCTCCATTTACAGAACAGTTACTGTCGAGAATGTCCAAAAGTATCTCTCCATTTACAGAACAGTTCCTGTAGAGAATGTCCAAAAGTATCTCTCCATTTATAGACCAGTTACAGTAGAGAATGTCCAAAAGTATCTCTCCATTTACAGACTAGTTACTGTAGAGAACGTCCAAAAGTATCTCTCCATTAACAGAACAGTTATTGTAGAGAATGTCCAAAAATATCTCTCTATTTACAGAACAGTTACTGTAGAGAATGCCCAAAAGTATCTCTCTATTTACAGAACAGTTACTGTAGAGGATGTCCAAAAGTATCTCTCTATTTACAGAACAGTTACTGTAGAGAATGTCCAAAGTATCTCTCTAACGGTTTGTAATGTTATTAATTTCACATGAAACATTTAATTAAATATGAATGTCACTTTCAAAACCAGATGCCCTCCAATGAACCATAATTATACTATAGAATTATAGTATGTGATGTTTACAGATCTCATGCAATTTCTCCACAATGTCAGAAATCCATCACGCCTTTCTTCCAACACACACATAATGAACAGCTCTAGAACTCAGCGAGGAGCTGGTTTTTAGGGGTTTGTCCAATTGAACATAAAAATGTACAAAATGATAGTATCCAAACTGTACAGATTCAGTTACATACACAGAGAAGTGATTCCTAGACTGCACTATGAACTTGAAGAGGTATTCCAGTGACTTCATGGCTCTAATCAACACTTTCTGATTCACCTCCATGGCCCTGTCAACGTAGTCTCGCAGGATCAACATCAGTTTCCTGTCAACACACATGTTATGTTAATGTACTGTTTACTTCTTAGGGCCAATGTTCCTATCCACACATTACTGTTACTGTCAATGTTCCTATCCACACATTTCTGTTACTGTCAATGTTTCTATCCACACATTACTGTTACTGTCAATGTTCATGTATGTCACATAACTGATAAACTTCTCATAATAAATTCACTTCTAATACTAACAGCATCTAGCTGAATATTACATTATATTTTAATGAAATCTAAATTGATTAAAAAGATATCATCAAAATAAGATCTAGTTTCTTTAACTCATTTTTAGTTCTCTATACAGTTTGTTAATGAAATATCCTTACTACATCTTCTTGTCAGTTTTTTACCTTTGCCACAAATGAACAAATTTTTGCAATTAGATTTATCAATGAGCAGCTACACTTTCAATAAACACATATTTGCCAATTTCATACATACTCATAGGCCATGGCAAAGCTGAATGAGGTGGTTACATAGGCATCCAGAACAGGCCGGAACTGGTGGTACTTCCTGTCTGAGATCAGGCCAATGATGTGTACCTACAGAAAATACAAGGTCACAAGGTGATAAAGTCAAGGTCACCAACCGATATCTAACATTTTTATTCAAGACATATTGGAACAACAAGATAAATGATACAGGCTGATAACTATTGCTTATAAAAACATGTTTGTTTTAAACTTTTAAAAAAAATCTAACGTTTGCATTTTTTCCAATTATAAATTTCAGGCTTAGTAAACCACAACATCTAACTGATAAGAGTCCATTTTGAAATCTGAAGGATATAACAGCTCCCTTTCTGTCTTTTAAAAATGACCAGATATTTTCATGTTTTCCAATTTACATCTTTTATTGATTGAGGATTTTTCAGCTTACCAAGAAAATGTTTTTAAAACACACATATGCCCCGGCTCCTGTAGTCTGACCAACTAAATGGAACAAATGCAAAGTCATTAATGTTGCTGGGACACAATCTTGTGATTACACATCTACTCACCAATGCCTCAAACACCAAGTTATCATACATCTCAGAAATGTTTGTCTCAATCAGAATGTTGAACAAAGAGTCAAGGAGATCCTGTAGGAACTGAAAGGTAAAACACACATTATCAGTTTGATGATATATTGTGAAATTACACAAGATTTCCATTTCAAAATTTTGCATTCATCCACTGTTTCAAGACAAGAGACCTTTTAACATAAATACACACATATTTCACTTCTTCAATAGACATTTGATGAAATCTAGCCTTTATACAAAATCTGATGAAGTAAATTGAGAACATTTTCAAAAAATTGTGAAATTAGTGCCACAGATCAAATTCTTACTTTCAATTTAATGAAACTGCCTGTAGTGAAGTTGCTATAGTTACTGAAATAGTATATGTTGCTATGGTTACTGAAATAGTATATGTTGCTATGGTTACTATAACATCAACAGTTGAGTTGATGTACAGCTAATGTACATGTTGCTACTAAATTTGTATATTCTAGCACCTGACCTTTCCGTGACTTTGATACTGACCTTGACTATTTCCTCTCCATCTACATGCATCAGTTTGTCGAGGTGAGTCCGCAGTACAGACGTGTCGTTCAACATCTCCTGCCATTTTAACAATCCCAGGAGATCAACTACAGCGACAAGACAGATACAGTGTGTTATAAAACATAGGATCTTAAAGCAGCTTCCATACCTTTGAACTTAACAATACAAATCTAGAAATTTCTGTTTTGCTGAGTCTTTGCAAACCAAAAAGTATCATAAATGTTGTGTGAAACAGATATGATTTCAAGAAACTTTTACCACATGACCAAAATGTGTAAATACTCACCATAAACTTTAATTTTCTGTCATGAAGTATTCACAATCAACATCTTGACTTCATGTTTAATGTCTTAAATGTGTCAACATGATATGATGTTATGTCCACTGTCTTTAAGATATATCTACCAATATGTGCCCTTCCTCCCCTAGTGACATACCATTATGTGTGAGTTTGGTGGAGCAGACAAATGTGTTGACCATGAAACTGTCCCTCTGGTTGAGTGTGAAGGGCCCGGAGAACAGTGGTATCTTGCTTCCCTTCTGGATGTCCTGGGAATCTAGAACATCTCGTGTCGAGGGCAGGTCAAGATATGGGTCACTGTCATCATGTTTTCTCTCAATCTGGAACAAACACCAGAATAAAAGGTTGAAATAGAAGAGCAATTTCGAAAAGAATCTCACAATGTAAGGTTGAGAAAAATGACATTACATGACTTTTTTTATTGACTGATGAATTCATACCATTACCTCAATGTTGAGTTCATTGACCAGTACAGTTCAGTAAATAGACTTACCTTATACATCAACTAGTTATAATGTTAGGTTCATTGAATGATAAACTTTATTAGATAGACTTGCCTTAAACATCAACTGATTACAATCATAATGTTGGGTTCATTGAATGATAAACTTAATGGATCCACTTACCTTATACATCAATTGGTTATAATGTTTGGTTCATTGACCAATAAACTTCAGTAGATAGACTTACCTTATACATCAATTGGTTATAATGTTTGGTTCATAGACCGATAAACTTCAGTAGATAGACTTACCTTATACATCAATTGGTTATAATGTTTGGTTCATAGACCGATAAACTTCAGTAGCTAGACTTACCTTATACACCAACAGGTTATGATCAGTGTCGGCTAATGTTGTGTGGTTCTTGTTCATCAGTTTCACAAAAGACATAGCAAATGGCCGCTCTGCTCTGTCCTTGTCTGTTAAAATACCCAGATAAATGTCAGATGCATTTCTCACAGACATAACAATACAATATATGTAGATAATATCCTAATACAACATATGTAGATTATAATATCCTAATCATTAAACACAACATGTGTAGAAAATCTTCTGATCATTGAATACAAAATATATTATCTATTTCACTTGAAATTAAAGTCTTAAATTATTTGTACCATACTACAAAAACTTACAACAATGTCTTATTACAAAGTCTTACTATAATGTCTTACTATGAAAGTCTTACTATAACGCCTTCCTACAAAGTCTTACTATAATGCCTTACTACGAAAGTCTTACTATAATGTTTTAATTACTACGAAAGTCTTACTATAATGCCTTACTACAAAGTTTTACTATAATGCTTTACCACAAAGTCTTACTATAATGTCTTACTACAAAGTCTTACTATAATGCCTTACTACAAAGTCTTACTATAATGCCTTACCACAAAGTCTTACTATAATGCCTTACTACAAAGTCTTACTATAATGCCTTACCACAAAGTCTTACTATAATGCCTTACTACAAAGTTTTACTATAATGTCTTACTACAAAGTCTTACTAAAATATCTTACTACGAAAGTCTTACAGTGCTATACATACTTTCACTTGTTGACTTATGTTTAAACAAGAACTTAAGATGCAATCCTCTAAATTCTTCTTCTGTGGATATAGCCACCTGGAAAAGAAACAAAAAGGCAACTACAGTATATATATGATAGGTGTTTTAATATTATAACTAAACGTCTGCTGAATTAACTTCTGCTTTGAATGGCACAATCAAAACTATATAAAAAGTTATTAAAATATTTGTGAATATTCATTCCAACATGATCAAATGTCTCCGTATTGTATATTTCTCAAGGTTTAAATCAAACTTCTTTAAATTCCCCTATACCAAAAATCAAAGATGGCTGAAATTCCTCCAACTACATTTACTGGAGGTTTGAAGATTTGTAGCCTACCTTGACAGTCTCATACCACTTGGGTTTGTCCTCATGGTAGTAAACCATAGTCCTGTACTCCGTCATCAGTTCCCCTCCACATCCATGGCTGATAACAGCCTACAATGTAAAACATACACAACTCAGTCTTCTGGTTACCTGTGTATATTGTACCTGTATCTACCTAACTTACAGTACTGGTGTTCAGCCTAACTTGTGTATATTGTACCTGTATCTACCTAACTTACAGTACAGGTGTTCAGCCTAACCTGTGTATATTGTACCTGTATCTATCTAACTTACAGTACAGGTGTTCAGCCTAACCTGTGTATATTGTACCTGTATCTACCTAATTAACACACCAGGTGTTCAGACATCACCTGTGTATATTGTACCTGTATCTACCTGATTAACACACCAGGTGTTTAGACATTACCTTTAATTTCTCCAGGTTTTTGTTACAGACGACCATTGTGACCTCTACATTTTTGTCGGCTGTTTTCGTTGGTCCGCGTGTGAATTCTCCCTGCTTGATTGTGATGTAGATGTCATTTCGTACGTCACCTGTATATGTTCAAACCCAAACATGTTTTAGTTAATAAATCTATAGAGCATTACAGAAATGATGTACAGTATCACTATAGGATTCTCCCGTATACCAGTAGGTTTTCTCTGTAAAGTATTAATCAGACACAAGTACTCACTTACTACCTGACATTAACGTAAGTAATGAAACCTTAAAATATATTGTTAAATACTTCCATCAAGTCATTGAACAGTTGACATTTTTCTGAATAACTGTGCTGTGTAAAATACACCATCGACTAAAAGTGATATATTTCTCTACTAAAAGTAATGTGTAATTATTTTTGTCATATTACATAACTTGATAACATTTACGACTCACAAAGTAATTACTCCAACACACAACTTCACAAAAGTTATCAATTACAAAAGCTGGTATGTAAAAGCAATAATGAAGCAACTCTCCATAATTTTTTTCCACTTTCCCATAAAAATTTTGTGCCAAAGATAAAGACAGAATTAATAAATTTGATACAACATTGAAAACTAATCTCCCACAGATAACTTGTCTATCTGTCCTATAAGAAAACCGTTTTGGCCCCCACCCCTGCTATACCTTGTATGTGCGTGAAAGTGTCTGAGAAAAACTTGGAGAGATCTGCTCTTTTATTGCGACATTTTTATGGCTTTTTTTTCATAAGCAGGGAAACACTGAACAGTTATATTATGTTAGAACAAAACTTGAAATAAAACAAACCTATATTTGAAAACACTACTCCCCTAAACAATACTCTGCTTTAGAAAAACAGCATTTGTTGTGAATGGTGACAAAAAGGTCAAAAGTATTAGAGAAAAAAGGAGCATGAAGAAAGATGCTGAAACTTCAGCTTATAACACACCACCAACTAGCGGTAATATCTGTTTGTACTACCGGTAATATCTGTCTGTACTACCGGTAATATCTGTCTGTACTGGCGGTAATATCTGTTTGTACTGGCGGTAATATCTGTTTGTACTGGCGGTAATATATGTTTGTACTAGCGGTAATATCTGTTTGTACTACCGGTAATATCTGTTTGTACTACCGGTAATATCTGTTTGTACTGGCGGTAATATCTGTTTGTACTAGCGGTAATATCTGTTTGTACTACCGGTAATATCTGTCTGTACTGGCGGTAATATCTGTTTGTACTGGCGGTAATATATGTTTGTACTGGCGGTAATATATGTTTGTACTAGCGGTAATATCTGTCTGTACTACCGGTAATATCTGTTTGTACTACCGGTAATATCTGTTTGTACTGGCAGTAATATCTGTTTGTACTGGCGGTAATATCTGTTTGTACTGGCAGTAATATCTGTTTGTACTGGCGGTAATATCTGTTTGTACTGGCAGTAATATCTGTTTGTACTGGCGGTAATATCTGTCTGTACTACCGGTAATATCTGTTTGTACTACCGGTAATATCTGTTTGTACTACCGGTAATATCTGTTTGTACTGGCAGTAATATATGTTTGTACTGGCGGTAATATCTGTTTGTACTGGCAGTAATATCTGTTTGTACTGGCGGTAATATCTGTCTGTACTACCGGTAATATCTGTTTGTACTGGCGGTAATATCTGTTTGTACTACCGGTAATATCTGTCTGTACTACCGGTAATATCTGTCTGTACTACCGGTAATATCTGTTTGTACTACTGGTAATATCTGTTTGTACTGGCGGTAATATCTGTCTGTCCAGATCCACAGCCGGTATGGACCACACTGCCATATTACTTATGAGACCTTTATTTATGTGTATAAAACCAATGCAGAACAACAAAATAACAACATCAAAAGCAAAAGCAACACAATCATTTGATTTGATCATATGTGCCAATTACAACACAATGTATTGCCTGTTGGGAACTTGAAGATGATACTACCTCGTACATGGATATATAGAAGTAATAACACGCATGGTTGAACAGCAAATGTTTTTTTTTCTTTCAAATATAAGTGACCTTATCAAATTATATTTTAATAGCTATTTACAACACATGGGGCCTTAACAGCTCTCCTGGGTGATGTTTCAGGACACATGATAATTACGTACAGGGTATTTCACACAACCGTGTGTAACTTCTCCCCCTTACATATGGTTAATGGGTACCCGTAGATTTACGTACGCATTGTGAAAAGGCAACAAGTTTTTTTAATTTGTAATTGAAAATAGTTGAATATTGTACACGTATACAAAAGTAATACAATATATACGGGATATGAACTGAGAACAGGCAGAAATCCCTTTTGGGGCCCAACCCTCTGCACATGGCACATCATTCATTTAATGAAATTAAAATTATTTTACTCACAATAAAAGAATAGGATTTTAAAGATGTTCCTGTATTTCTTCTATTGAACCCTGCCCCTCTCCCCCTAGCAAGACAACATCCTCTGTTGAAACATTGAGTCAACTTGGCCCAAGGATACTCCACACCAAATCAGCTCAAAATCCTTTTCCCTTATTCAAGGAGCAGTATTTTGAAGATTTACCTTTATTTCCCTAATTATTTGGCCTTACTTTCCCTAAAAAAGCCACATCCTCCATTTGTAAAATATAGAGCCTCCTTGGGCCATTTATGTTCTTGTACTTTTGACATTAGCCTAGGACCAGGCTTTTTGACAACATTTACACATAAATATCAATAAGCAAAAAAGTGAATGATTGATAAAACCTATTCCAACATTGCTAAGTAAGGACATAAATGGCTAAAAACTCCATAAGGTGCAATGCTACAACATGTAGGATGTAGTAAATGTGGACATGTGGGCTTACCTCCTAGTACGAGTCAACAGATAAACATATCAATACAGGTATGTTATACAGGTATTACACAGGTATATTATGATATTACACAGGTATATCACACAGGTGGGAACAACTACAATACATCATTCGGTACATCATCGGTCACTGGATCAAATTTGTTATACCAAATTAAAGTTTACAGGTAAGAAATGATTGTAACCACAAGAAAATATGGATATGCTAAACGATAAAATTATCCAAAACAGTCAGTTTTATGTTCTGTAAGTTCTAAAACCAGGTTACTTCTTAGAATGAATTTCAAGGTTAGCACTGTCACATATCTCTAGGTAAACTCTTTCTCTTTGTAAATGTCAAGGAAACACAATCAGTTTTCTTCTAAGTTTCAAACATTACACTCAACATCAGATTTTCTACTTTCTGTCAGGATATTCCAATACATTAGAGCTTTGAAATGCACCGATACCATTGGTACCTGGATATTACGTACCTGGCATGATGACTTCTGGGAAACCCATCTTACGAGACACAGGTGTGTTCTGGCCAACAAGGTGTGGAAAGTCTTCTCGCACCTGTCATACAGAGAAATTTCTGTCTTATGGAGAAATTCTTGTCATATAGAAATTAAGTAGTCAAACAGAGAGATTAAACACGCATGTTCAAATTGTTACAGAGAAACTCCAGCCATACAGAAATCAAGTGCAGTAAAATCCTGCTATGGAAAAAATCTTGTCACAGAAAACAATATACCAGTATATACAGTCATGAAATTTTCTACAGAAGGATAGATGGACCTATGGACAGGGTGATTACTGTACTGAACACACGCTCTCAGAATGCCTTAACGACACTACATCTGTCCAAAAACCTCACTTTTCATTATGAAATCTGGAATCTATCTTTCTGGATTAATGCATCATCATTGTCTTGATGGAAAAAAATACATATTGTTTGGAATATAACCTAACTGAAATGAAATTTTCAACTGTTAAATGTGAACTGACTTGTTTAGGGTCACCAGACAGGATCTTCATAGAAACCCATACACCTTGTCCTTTATGGTTAATATCCTTGGCAACGACCACCTTCCGAATCAAGCTTTCCATCGCCTCCTTTTCTCCACACCTACCAAACACACATAGTTAACATTATACAAGGCATTGACTGTTAGGTATATTGTACATGTTTCCTTAAACTTACAGGCTATCTTATTTGCAAATTTGTGTACTTCAAACTTTGACTCTTTTATCATTTAAGTATGTGAACCTACTACTGTATGGATGTTGATAAATCTTGGAAAAAAAGGAATTGCTATAATAATCGAACATTTTACAATTCTTTTGGTTTTGTTTTGTTTTTTAGACGGATCCATGATAAAAACAGGAATCCCAATAGAACTCTTTAAAAAGTAATATGGAAAGATTTCTTTCAATAGAAACTGTCTTCAGAGATCATTTTTTATACAGTTTTTATTTTGAAAGAAGTAAATGATTGAAAAAGAGAGATTATAAGTTATGAGCAAAACAAATTACCCATAATTCAACATTGGATAAAATAGACCTTGGATTTGCTGTTGAAATGGTATAAGAGAGATTGTTTCCAAACTTACTGCTGAAATGGTATAAGAGAGATTGTTTCCAGACTTACTGCTGAAATGGTATAAGAGAGATTGTTTACAGACTTACTGTTGAAATGGTATAAGAGAGAATGTTTCCAGACTTACTGCTGAAATGGTATGAAATGCTGTGTCTCCTCTGAACACTCCTGTTTGCCATTCATGATTTCTGTTATATCCAGGGCTGAAGTACAAAACATAGACAACTCGTAAGAACACAATTACATAGCATTGGTGATTTACTGATACAATGGAAGACAAAGCTGCTACTATGGTGATTTACTGATACAATGGAAGACAAAGCTGTTACCATGGTGATTTACTGATACAATGGAAGGCAAAGCTGTTACCATGGTGATTTAATGAAACAATGGAAGACAAAGCTGTTACCATGGTGATTTACTGATACAATGGGAGACAAAGCTGTTACCATGGTGATTTACTGATACAATGGGAGACAAAGCTGTTACCATGGTGATTTACTGATACAATGGAAGACAAGCTGTTACCATGGTGATTTATTGAAACAATGGAAGACAAAGCTGTTACCATGGTGATTTACTGATACAATGGGAGACAACGCTGTTACCATGGTGATTTACTGATACAATGGGAGACAAAGCTGTTACCATGGTGATTTACTGATACAATGGAAGACAAAGCTGTTACCATGGTGATTTAGCACTTTCTACGTAATTCAGCAATGCTTTCAAACCCTTTGGGGAAATTTATGTTTAGGAAATAAATTTTTCATAAAACAGTTGGATTTGTTTTCAATATTTTGCAGTAGTGATCAAAATGGTCTCAAAGGAAACCTTTTCTGACACGAGATATACCTTGGACCACAGTTGTTCTAATATCATTTTCAATGTTCTAAGGTGTTATTCTGTGTATATTACCTGCTACTCCAAATGGTCGCTTCAGCCCTTTCGTTTGTTTCTTGTCGTCTACATCTTTCGTATCCATGACCCCTGTATCAACAGGAAATGTAAACTTGACGAAGTTCTCAAAACCACACAATTTAAATAAAATCAAACATACATATACATGTTTACCTATACATCATTTTGATATACATGTATTACCTATACATCATTTTGATATACATGTATTACCTATACATCATTTTGATATACATGTATTACCTATACATCATTTTGATATACATGTATTACCTATACATCATTTTGATATACATGTATTACCTATACATCATTTTGATATACATGTATTACCTATACATCATTTTGATATACATGTATTACCTATACATCATTTTGAAGTGTTTAACTGAACTGTTTTTACAAACTAAACAGATGTCTCCATTAAGGTTTATCTTGTGCTCAACATCATAAATGCACAATTTCATTTATTTGCTTATCAATATTTTTGATAGAAAATAATATTCATCTCAAGAATGAAATCATTAAAAGTAACATGATGTAAATATGAGTGGGATTTGAGAATTTAATTGGGGGGTTTTTCCTGGAAAATTTTACCTCAAAAACTTGCAATGGGAAATATTACGAATAGAAAGGTTGAACTTTCACATGCGCCTCTGTAGTTGATAATGTTAAACATGTACTAGGTAGGTGTTTGAAGTCTTTTTTGAGATTTTGTCACTCAAGATTTCTACCCATTAAAGTTTGATAGTTTGGCAAGTATGTGTGAAACAGTATATGTACTATGTGTCATAGAATGAGCTAACTTACCTATTCTTACAATTTGAAAAACTAAAAATACTTTTTCTCGCTGTCGGTCTTTAGCACCTAAGTCCTGTAAACAGAAGTAAATACATCATTACTGTGTTGTTGTTACGACTGGCTTTTATATTGGTAAATCAGTGATTCTGAGATTGATCAGGACTACCAACAAGTAACAGGATAACCTTATCAGTTATGTGTGACATGAAAAGTAAATATAGCCAACACTGAACACCTGTAGGAAGTTCTGGAAATCAGGGAGATCAGAAATGACTATTGTATATATATCCGTTTTCATGTCAAATGTTCAAGTTCAAATTTCTAAATTATTTATAAGCGTATCACATATTAACATAAACATTGTTTTTATATAGTATAACATATAAACGACTAGTACTTAGTCAAAACTACTCACATTTGAAAATATTGATAAGACAAGTGTTTATATACAATGGTTCAGATTGGGATTTGAAATGAGACCCTCTCAATATCAGACAAATCATCTAAACAATAATCTTCACAAGTATAAATCTATCAGACTTGTACACACCAGCTACATGTGCTGTATCTGACAGTATACGTACCGTGAACACCACTTTATAATTGTTCAGCATTTCTAAGTTCTTTGGTACCCCTCCTCCCTTGGCCCATTTCACTACATAATTTTCACTGAAAAGTCAATAATATCACAGTGTTACTTTATTTCATTTTTCACATTCGTGTTCAACTTTATTTAAAACAATAACCTTTAATTACACACTCCAGAAAAGTTGTCCACACAAGTATATTTAAGTCTAAGTTTTAAAAGGTACAAATTCTCACCTGATAAATTTTCCAAATTTGGCATCATAAAGGCTCATCAAGATATCTGCATCCTCGCCGATCCGACAAACAAAATTTCTAAGTTTGACAAAAAGGTTAAAAGTGTGTGGCCATGTGAGATTGAGTCCTTCCTCCTTGCCAGTGTTTACCTGTAAATCATAAACAACAGTTATACAGGTGTGGCTTGTAATCTGGTGGAAAGTTCCGTCGATAAACTCCAAATATAACAGATCGGATCAATCTACGTTAAATACAAATTAACCACTGTCTGCCTCATAGTGGCATTGCAGTTTTATTAATTAGCATTTAATGACACACAATCAAAGTGCCCTTGGCACTGGAGGATTGGCGGCCTGAGTGTGTTTTTCTACAGATTTCAGGCTACTGTATTCATTCATGCGGAAAGAAATAAAACAAAGCTTGGCCCGTTTCGCTCCTGTTACAAAAGTGACAATAGTGTCTGTTTTACGTTTTACTTTATGACTGTTTTATACCAAAGTAATACCTGTAGCATACATTAACAACAGTACAATGCAACTTCAATGTCTTTTTTACTTCACACCATATATTCTATTCCGTCTTTACGTATTGCAGAGTTATCTTCTCTCGTGAGCAGGTATTGATTGTTACGTCATTGGTTTGTGAGAGTAACGTCATCAATTTTTGAGAAAACGACGTAATTTTCTCACACAAACAAATGGCGTAACAATCAATACCTGCTAACAAGAGAAGATACCTCTGCAATACACAAAGACGGAATACTTCGATTTGACTATGGTATGGTTTTATCTGGCATGGTTACATCATGGTAATCATCAGCAAATTGATACTCTTAACATTTATGGTAAGTTTCATTATGCTGTAACATAATTATTTTTGAAAACAGTAATAGATAAGCACAGCCATGTACAGAAAAAGTCCTATATAGAGATGTTTCGAGCTGTTGTGAATTGACATCAATGTTGTATTGTTTCCTGCCATTACTATTACCACCTGTAGATTGTATTAATTACAATAGCATGTTTTATACTGTGTTTACCTTTTCTGCTTTGATTCGATCAGCTGCAAGTTCATGCTGAAAAATTAACATTAGAAATCTGATATGAACATAAGAACTCCATAATTAGTGACAAACAGATACATAACTACGTAAACTTCTACACAACTGTACAAATTGAGAACATAATTTTCTAAGAAGTAAATGTTCATGGCGCAAAAAAATAATCTTTTTGCCAAGAATAAAGAACTTTGACTGTGAAAATATCTGAGTATACAGTAAAATGAAGATAAATAGTATTTCAATTTTACAACAGTGAATACAAACTCATTTCTTGAAGACTTGTTTTGATTAAACACTGTCTGATCAGTAAGTCAGGATCTTTGCTTACCCATTACCCAAGGTGTTAGTAAAGGAGGTGGAGTAACACTTGCCTGTTTGAAGAGATTAATAGCACTGGTTGACTCGGGGTCTAGGACATTTCCCTGATCGTCTCGGACAACAAGGTCAAGGCCAAGCATGCTAGAAAACAAAAACATTCATAGAAATAACTCAAATAGAATGAATCTACATGTTCTCTCCTTCTGGTTAGTGACAAATTGTTAAGCTTTTTAATTTATATTTCAGTACATTATTACAGGTTTGTAAAAGTTCCTCTTATTTTCTGATTTTAACTGGTGTTACTCTTCATGATTTCAAGAAGTGATGAAACAATTTATTTCAAACCATTCATTTCTTTGTAACCTGAAACCCTGACTTTGTCCAATGGCTGCAGCAGAACAAAGTTTGGACTGTTCCAAAGACTTACTCGTTCCCCAGATCAATCTTTGACGATATCTTCTGCTGTAAGTCTCGGAGCTCCTCCTGGAAATACAGTGTTTAATCCGTCAGAAAAAAACACAACCATGAACAGAATCTTCTTTTTCTGTATCTTAATCTTGTAACTTTTTCTTTTTGAAGTGGTCAAACAGACTAAGTAACTAAAAACAGATGCTTCACTAAGGATAAAAACACTGAATTGTAATGGTGAATACACCATAAAGTCTACCCCACAATGATCATTCACTAATATATAACAATCAGCATCATCAAATGAACACTTGATCACAATCAATCCTCATGCTGACCCTGACTAATGAACACTCCCTCATGAGATAACAATCGACGCTCTCTTACCGCGGTCAACTTCCTCGACATTATTTTGCGTCGCCAGTGAATTAGTTCTTGCATCATCTCCATGATTTTTCCAAAATCCTGATTTCTTTCCTGAAAAATGCAATTAACTAGAATGATATAACAACCATTTATATGAGTCAAACGATTAAATACTTACAAATACAGAGATGAAGACACAATGGTGGCTCTCGATAAGTTTATAACGGAGAATGGACAAAACTTTAATGATACCACGTCAGAGGCAGTTTCAAATAAACATGTATAAAACAAAAGACATTTTGTTATTTTTAAGCAGTTTTTATGAATTGAATACACTTAGAACAAGTCCCTTATTTATCATATAAAGTAACAGTTTCCCAGGAGTTATTAACAGTGAATCCTTCGACCCCAGTTTATATAAACATACCACAAAGTACTGTTTCCATATAACGACCCCCGACCCCAGTTTATATAAACATACCACAAAGTACTGTCTCCACATAACAACCCCCGACCCCAGTTTATAGAAACATTCCACAAAGTACTGTTTCCACATAACGACCCCTAACCCTAGTTGATATAAATATACCACACAGTACTGTTTCCACATAACGACCCCCGACCCCAGTTAATATAAACATACCACAAAGTACTGTTTCCACATAACAACCCCCGACCCCAGTTTATAGAAACATACCACAAAGTACTGTTTCCACATAACGACCCCTGACCCCAGTTAATATAAACATACCACAAAGTACTGTTTCCACATAACTACCCCCTACCCCAGTTTATATAAACATACCACAAAGTACTGTTTCCACATAACGACCCCTAACCCTAGTTGATATAAATATACCACACAGTACTGTTTCCACATAACGACCCCCGACCCCAGTTATTAAAAACATACCACAAAGTGCTGTTTCCACATAACGACCCCCTAGCCCTAGTTTATATAAACATACCACAAAGTACTGTTTCCAAAAACGACCCCTTACCCTAGTTGATATAAACATACCACAAAGTACTGTTTCCACATAATGACCAATGTCCACAGTTGATATAAACTTACCACAAAGTACTGTTTCCACATAACGCCCCCGACCACAGTTCATGTAAACATACCACAAAGTACTGTTTCCACATAACGACCCCTAACCTTAGTTGATATAAACATACCACAAAGTACTGTTTCCACATAACAACCCCCCAACCTAGTTGATATAAACATACCACAAAGCACTGTTTCCACATAACGACCCCTAACCCTAGTTTATATAAACATACCACAAAGTACTGTTTCCACATAACAACCCCCGACCACAGTTGATATAAACATACCACAAAGTACTGTTTCCACATAACAACCCTCCGACCACAGTTGAGATAAACATACTACAAAGTACTGTTTCCATATAACGCCCCTCGATCGCGACCACAGTTGATATAAACATACCACAAAGTACTGTTTCCACATAACGACCCCCGACCCCAGTTTATATAAACATACTACAAAGTACTGTTTCCATATAACACCCCCTGATCGCGACTACAGTTGACATAAACATACCACAAAGTACTGTTTCCACATAACAACCCCCGACCCTAGTTGATATAAACATACCACAAAGTACTGTTTCCACATAACATGCCATTCTCGTAGTACAGAGTTGATCTCCTGGGACAATGGCAGCTCCTTTGGTGCAATGGTCTCAAGTGAGCTGAAAATTGCAACATGAAAAATTAATTCTGTCATTAATCTAACTCAGCAACAAAACCCATAATTGTCCTATAACATAGCGCTCTAACAATATCTTGTAGTAGTGATATTTATTGGCAATACATTGTGGTCAATTCAACACACTGACACTGAAAACAGCATTTTGAATGTTAAGGATCCTGGTCCCACTGGTGGTAAGTTTGAATGTTAAGGATCCTGGTCCCACTGGTGGTAAATCACTAGAGAATTCCAGTGTGGTTTTATGTGCACTAACCTCCCCTACTTTTGTTCTGGATTTAACCGACTGTTGCACAATTTAGCTGGGACACTTTCGTTAGCTCAGTTGGTCAAATTTAAAGTAACAGAATAACAATATGAGGCTCAGTGTTTGATTCCTGGTCTATCCCCGCTGCTTTTTACACTCTAAACACTTCAGTTGTTCATATTTTGTTTATTTCGTCTTCATTATTTTTTATAAAAGCAAGATCTGGTCTTCTTTTCAGCAATGAATTATTAAAGCTATAATAATGCCAGAGGAACAGTTTCCATGGCTAAGTTACAGTTTTTGGCAGTGACACAGGGATCCTAAATTGTTTTTTCAAAAACATGTAACGTAACCCTGTGACCTTTACACATAACTCTGCTATATTGATGATAATCAACATAATCCAGATTTGATATGCATGTCATATACATCTTTTCGACTATATTTATATGTATGCATTAGGATAAGATAAAGGTAGGGCTATGAGTACATTTTTATATATAACCCATGTTGATGTGTTCAAATTTGTACTCAAAAACATTTTTATGAATAGCAGCACCGGCGTGGGTTTTATAAATGTTCAGCTTTACTTACAAATGTATCAAGGTCTAGTAACATATAGTATATGTATTTACATATAGATCAATTATAACATTAATCATCATGTTATACAAATAACTCATGAGTTGACACCATGCATCTTTTCTCAATAAAACATAATTATTGTATATTTATTTCTATATATAAAAAAAAAAATTGCCTTTCCTTATGATGTTATAGACTGGTAATATACCGGTAAGGTAATGTACCAGTAAGGTAATGTCAGTCATCCCATATATAGACACAGTCAAGTTGTATTTTGAGATGACCCCTTATATTACCTGGTAGTAAGTTATATTTTATATTTTGAGATGACCCCTTACCCTGTAGTAAGCACAGCTGCTTCCTTTATATGTACATAGGTTTTGGGAAATACCCCTCGCTGGTTCTTGTTCCGCGTGGTGTAGCCCCAGTACCATCCTAAAAATAAAAATATTCACACTTAACATTCTGAGATGACCTAGATAATCTAAGTATATATTTGCATGTATAAAAACTCAGAGCACATCTGAAGTCAAGTACACGTAATTTATACAAAACACAAGGAAGTATCATGCTAACCTGGTTCTAAGAAAAAAGAGAATGTTTTCAGAATTGAAATAAACAACAGGGAAACTTTGTATTGATGCAACTTACATTTTCTAAAGCTGTTGAAATTCTTAATTATAAAACATTTCATTACTGTATCTGTCCTGAGAAAGGTCTTAATTATAAAACATTTCATTACTGTATCTGTCCTGAGAAAACCTTGTAAGTCCTCAGAAAGGAGTTATATGATATCTAAATGTTTTCCATTTGTAAGTTAAAAGGAGTGGGCTTATTATTGAACATAGTTATCTATCACTTTTACAGGGACGTATCACTTGCCCTCATAGATCTTTTTTATTCTATTCTTAATTTTTCGGTTTGGTTTAATAATACAATAATGTAAATGAATTTTATATAATATAGGACCTCAGCTACCATGAGTCACGGAACTTTATTGTCAGTCAATCGACATGAGTTTTCCTCCCAAAAAGTTTCATAGCAATCGGTCTGATAGTTTTAGAGATGTGTACATGTCTGGACATGTACAGTACTCCAAACTCCGCAGCACAAAAAGAGCAATAACTCTTAGAAAACAATTGAAACTAAAAACTTTGCACAACTTCATGTACATAAGGAACCAACCATGTGTAAACAGTTTTATTGATGGAATTGTCTGGACATACTTTTCCTACAGACAGATGGGCTGTACATATATAACTGTAGTGATAAAGGCTGGGGTGTAACATCCTATTTATGCAATTATACTGTAATGACATGTTGTAGACAAGGAATTAGTGTTCCTGAATACATCCAACCTTTTCCCCTAACTACAAATGGATACATCCAACCTTTCCCCCTTAACTTCTAATGGATACATCCAACCTTTCCCCCCTAACTACAAATGGATACATCCAACCTTTCCCCCTAACTTCAAATGGATACATCCAACCTTTCCCCCTTAACTGCTAATGGATACATCCAACCTTTCCCCCTAACTTCAAATGGATACATCCAACCTTTCCCCCCTAACTACAAATGGATACATGCAACCTTTCCCCCCTAACTACAAATGGATATATCCAACCTTTCCCCCCTAACTACAAATAGATACATCCAACCTTTTCCCCCTAACTACAAATGGATACATCCAACCTTTCCCCCCTAACTACAAATGGATGCATCCAACCTTTACCCCTAACTACATCATATGTAATCCTCCATACATCTCAATCAACTTATCAAATTGTCCTACATGGGGATGGGAGGAAGGCTGTACCTGACCTCTGACCCTATAAATTCTCAGTCTGACAATGAGACCCAGACCAGTGGTTTACTGACAGATCGACAGAGCATGTAAGATTGAAGATGACACTGTCACAGATCAGCATTGCACAGTCACCACATATACATGTATATAAAGAAATATATAAGCTCATTAATCATGGCCAGCCTCCAATAATACAAAAAACCTAACACACATGTATACATATGCTCTTAATATGTGTACCAGGAAATCATCACATACATGTACTTTCCTATTCTGTTTTAGTAGAATGATACACATATTTCTGGCCTTTTTTGTAAACTTACATGATAAATTATTCAGTCTGTTTAAGTTGTTAGATGTACGTTTAGGTTCAAGTAAATACAGAAACAAGAATGTTCTGGTTTTATCCTGATTGCTGTTAAACTGTAAATAGGTGCATGTACTTCCTCATCAATATGTGTCCACCCTTTCTTTCTGTTCGAACACTATAGAACTGTACATAAAATACTGACAGGATTGTTTTCCTACAGCACTGTATTTAATTGCATTATGACAGGTATCCACATGGCTCTCAAATGACAGGTATCAATGTAGCTCTCAAATGTCAGGTATCCATGTAGCTCTCTAATGTCAGGTATCCATGTAGCTCTCTAGTGTCAGGTATCCACATAGCTCTCTAATGTCAGGTATCAACATGGCACTCCAATGTCAGGTATCAACATGGTTCTCCTATGTCAGGTATCCACATTGCTCTCTAATGTCAGGTATCCACATGGCTCTCTAATGTCAGGTATCCAATTAGCTCTCCAATGTCAGGTATCCATATAGCTCTCTAGTGTCAGGTATCCACATAGCTCTCTCATGTCAGGTATCCATATGGTTCTCCTATGTCAGGTATCCACATAGCTATAATGTCAGGTATCCACATGGTTCTCTATCCACATAGCTCTTTAATGTCAGGTATCCACATGACTCTCTAATGTCAGGTATCCACATGGCTTTCAAATGTCAGGTATCACCATGGCTCTCAAATGTCAGGTATCCACATGGCTCTCAAATGTCAGCTATCCACATGGTTCTCCTATGTCAGCTATCCACATACATGGCTCTCCAATGTCAGGTATCCACATAGCTCTCTAATGTCAGGTATTCACATGGCTCTCTAATGTCAGGTATCCACATGGCTCTCCAATGTCAGGTATCCACATAGCTCTCCAATGTCAGATATCCACATGGCTCTCTAATGTCAGGTATCCATATGGCTCTCTGATGTCATGTATCTACAAAGCTTTCATATGTCAGGTATCCACATAGCTCTCCAATGTCAGGTATCCACATAGTTCTCATATGTCAGGTACATTGTATCTACATAGCTCTTCAATGTCAAGTATCCACATAGCTCTCTAATGTCAAGTATCCACATAGCTCTTCAATGTCAGGTATCCACATATCTCTCCAATGTCAGGTATCCTCATAGCTCTTCAATGTCAGGTATCCACATATCTCTCCAATGTCAGGTATCCACATATCTCTCCAATGTCAGGTATCCTCATAGCTCTTTAATGTCAGGTATTCACAAAGCTCTACTATGTCAGGTATCCACATAACTCTCCAATTTCAAGTATCCACATGGCTCTCCAATGTCAGGTATCCACATAGCTCTCAAATGTCAGGTATTCACAAAGCTCTCCTATGTCAGGTATCCATATAGCTCCCCAATGTCAAGTATCCCCATGGCTCTCCAGTGTCAGGTATCCACATAGCTCTCCAATGTCAGGTATCCACATATCTCTCTAATGACAGGTATTCACAAAGCTCTCCAATGTCAGGTATCCACATGACTCTCTAATGTCAGGTATCCACATAGCTCTCTAATGTCAGGTATCCACATGGCTCTCCAATGTCAGGTATCCACATAGCTCTCTAATGTCAAGTATCCACATGGCTCTCTAATGTCAGGTATTCACAAAGCTCTCCTATGTCAGGTATCCACATAGCTCTATAATGTCAGGTATCCACATGGTTCTCATATGTCAGGTATTCACAAAGCTCTCCTATGTCAGGTATCCTCATAGCTCTTAAATGTCAGGTATACACAAAGCTCTACTATGTCAGGTATCCACATAGCTCTCCAATGTCAAGTATCCACATGGCTCTCCAATGTCAGGTATCCACATAGCTCTCCAATGTCAGGTATTCACATGAATCTCAAATGTCAGGTATCCACATGGTTCTCATATGTCAGGTATCCACAAAGCTCTCCTATGTCAGGTATCCACATGGCTCTCCAATGTCAGGTATCCACATAGCTCTCCAATGTCAGGTATCCACATGAATCTCAAATGTCAGGTATCCACATGGTTCTCATATGTCAGGTATCCACAAAGCTCTCCTATGTCAGGTATCCACATAGCTCTCCAATGTCAGGTATCCACATAGCTCTCCTATGTCAGGTATCCACATGGCTCTCCAATGTCAGGTATCCACATGGCTCTCCAATTTCAGGTATCCACATGGTTCTCATATGTCAGGTATCCACAAAGCTCTCCAATGTCAGGTATTTACAAAGCTCTCATATGTCAGGTATCCACATAGCTCTATAATGTCAGGTATCCACATAGCTCTATAATGTCAGGTATCCACAAAGCTCTCCTATGTCAGGTGTCCACATAGCTCTCTAATGTCAGGTATCCACATAGCTCTCTAATGTCAGGTATCCACAATTATAATGATAATTTTTAATCAAGATGAACAATCTTTGAAATATAAAGCATGTCTCAGAGTTGATGTTTCTTGTTTAAAAAAACAGTCTCATGTTTCAGGATTAATTATTACTGAGCCTGAGGGAGTAAGATGTTAGCAAATTTCTATAGGGATGTTTCATGTTACAGGAATGTTTTTGGTGCGTAAGATGAGTATTAGTAAGAGTTTACTCTTACAAATGCAAGTGCAAAAATCTAACTTGTAGAAAAAATGCAAATACATGTACTGCCAATTTTCTCTGTCTATAATTTTTACTGCAGTCTTCACTGATGAAAATATGCATTGGAAAATCCATGTGTCATGAATATGAAGCTTGGTACAAGTGTGTCTCCAACTATACTGTATAAAGAAGTTAGGTACACATATCGGTACAGGGTTTATATCCCTAACGTGCACTGGGAACTAGAATGTTTGCCACGCGCACCTGTTATTAATCTAACAAATCATCATGTTAAATGGAAAAAACAAGCAATTTTCTCAACTCACTGATAAGAGAATAAAGGTAACCATGGAAACGTGAATAACTGATTGATGGGATGTCGCCAGACAGATAACCAACACATTCTCATGGCCCCACTTAAACTCCCACAGGACACCAGGATCAATAAGGGATCCTTTTCTAACTTAAAGTTTAAATTTAATTGCATTTTATTGGAGGGAAATCAATAAAGGAGAAAATATAACCAAGGTAATATGACCAGGGACTCTGGTGAAGTATCCTCATGATCATCAGGTTCATTGATTTATAGTAATTATCTGATGTGTGATATAAATCAGCAAAGCCGGTCATCTATGTTACATTGAAACACATTAAATATGTACATTATCAGTGAACAGACTCATTTCAAAAACCTCCTTGGCT